GCCTATCCACGGATCACTAGATCCAACGGTGTGAGATTCAGCTCCCATTGCATTTAATGGCGTTGTCCGCACTGCGCTTGAAATACTACAATCCCAACGCTGAATTTTATTGAGTTTGGCCTTAGTTGTCTTGGTTCCAGTGAAAGGCCACCAAACTAGGGAGCCCCACAAGAGAGATGGATATGGTGATTACACTTGTAAGCACACTCTTTCTTACTTTTTTTAACCTACGTGTTGCACGAGTCTCTCTCTCTCTCTCGTACACATTGAAACTCGACCGACCTCAGCCGTGAATGATTCGCACGGTATTATAATGTTATTGTCTGTTGTAATGTATGGCTCCGTTACTAATTTCCCTAAAACGGATTTCCAGTAAGGTCAACTACTACTTACTAATTTCCTTAAAACGGATTTCCAGTGAGGTCAAAAAACTTGAATGAGGTGATATTAGCATGAAGTGGATGACGAGAAACTTATAATGTTTCGTAAATCTAATTAAGGAAGCCTTCTAAGGCATCCTCATTTCGTTTGTAGCTGCCGTACAGAATTCTTTATTTACATTTTTGCCAAATTAAGTAACAACTGTAAACGTTAGACTCTTTAAGTGGTTGTTTCTTATAAAAAACTAAAAACAGTACCAAATCCATTTCCAAAGGAAAGGAACGGAGATACAGAATGGACCATGTTTTCGAAACTTATAGAAATGACCCTAGTGTTTTTCAAATAGTTCCACAGTGTATAACGAGGAGATTGTCGTGTTTTTCTATATATCGGAGCACCGCAGTTGCTATAAGAAACCCAAAGACACTTTGTTAAAACAATTTTTGAACTGCCTGAGGGAGAAGGCATCTTCTTCAGGCAAGTTGTTCTACAATCTCGATACTCCACTTCAAATCCACAAATCCAGTCTCATCACTGGCTCAAAGTAATTTTAGCCATAGTATCGTCTTAAGGAAACCACGATCGTAGTAAAATATGTAAAGTGTAAAATGCAGGAATATAGGTCACGTATTTTGGCTTCAAGTAACGACACCTAGCAAATATTTGAGTGATGTGAATCAGCGAAGGCAATGGAATCTATTTTTACTACACTAGTCGTTTCCGACCAGTACATATGTATATAATGTCTAATACATAACATTATGTAGTAGATAAATTATTATAGTACGCACAACCATAGTTTCACGGTCACTTAAGTCATTATTTTATGTTGATGCGCATGCTGAAATATGATACTGGGTGGCAGAGAAATGGAGTTTGTCTCTCATCACTTCACATGCCTTTTTACTTCCCGCTTCACTGGTTAGGAAGTATTGTGACCGATGTGATATTGTGGTGGATGTTACGAGTACATGTGTAGGATACGAACGAGATGATAATTATAGAAAATATAACAATAAACGTGATAACCACAAACCCATCTTAGAAGGTTTCGAAGTACCACCCTGTATCATTTCATTTTTACTACAAGGCAGTACGTAAACCATTCGATATGGGCAACAATAAAAGGATGATATTAAAGCCACTTAGTTGGTGACGAAGCGACAACGAGTTATACTCCTTTGCAAAGCGATAAGGGCGATATGATCGAATTGTCGTTGCCAACGTCTATTTTTAGAAAAAGACTTATGAGTATTTCCCGTATTCAGCTGACTTATGACATGACATGCACAAATCTACTATTTACCATTACATTAGTGTACCCCAACTACTAGTAAATATTCGTCATACAGACTAGGAGTCGTCACACAGACTAACTCTTTGGTCCCTAGGTGTACGGTGGCGGGTTTAACGATTGTTACAAAAAACATTCCAGGAATCAGGATATCACGTTGCCGTGTCAATATCCCGAAGCTTAGGCCCGTATCGTCAGTCGTCCCTACAATTGTAGGGCGCCTTTATGGCCTCCTTGATTGTCATAGTTTTCTAGTTCTCCGTGTCAGCGCTCTATTTTGAGGTTATGTCACAAACATCTATTTGCATCAAATTGTGCTTGCTTTTGAGTTATATCATGTTTTATGAGCCTGAAATTTCCTACAATTTAAAAAGAAAACATATCTTTACAATAGGAGAGCGCTGACCCTGACACGGGACAAGTGTAATCTAAAAATTTTTGAAGGAGAGAATAGAGTATGACAATCAAGGAGGCCATAAACGCGCCCTACAACTGTATGGACGACTGACGATACGGGCCTTAGACGTTACCCCTGAATCAGAGATAACCGAGCAATATGACTAACATTAAAGTAACAATCCCTTCACACATCCTGCCATGAGATACATTCTGACTCCAGCGATTGCCAAGAAAAGTTAGTTAAGCGGTCATTCAGACCTAGGACGTCACTTCGGCCAAAGGCCACCGTGTCAACATCCCAAACGCTCCGGCATTTCCCCTGGCAGATGAAACCGAGCAGTAATTAACATAACTACCTTAACCCAGAAAACGGGCTCCGAAAGTCCCATAACAATCCCCAGAACCTGGAGGTGTCCCACCTGCGGATATTCAATAACCAGTCGTAAACCATAAATTAAATTTTGAAGGTAAAAGTATAGCATCTTTATAAACATGGCCTAAGACATTCTTGATCAAGAATATAAAAGTATTATGGTTAAAAATCCATGCAGTACAATAGAATAAAGGAAACACTCAGTGATTGCTCATCTTCCAGCTAAACAAAACTCTACACCCAATAGCACATCAACACTGTAATAAGGTCCACAATGCGCACTACTTGGTCTGAGAAGCGATGACTTCTACGCACTATTTGCACTGAGATGCGAGACCCGCCTGCATTTTTAAAAAAGTTTATCCTAGGAACAGGTGCCCAGAGAGGGAATGGAATGTATACTATAAACAGGCCTAAGGGCCGTCGTGTTAATTGACACTAACGAGACTTGTGAAGTGTCTAGAAAGATTTTGTGTGCTACAGGGTTGAACTCGCATGCAAAATGCGTTTGAGATATTTCATATGCTTACACATAACATTTACATCACTAAGAACTATATCTTTCATTTCTGTCGTTACTCTGTTTATCCGTCTGTCTGCCCATAGGCGCCCGCAGGAGGTGCCAGGGAGGGCGTGGCCACCCCTGCCAATACAGTTTGACCTCAAAATTTGCATATTCATCATGATTTTGTGTATAATTTCGGGGATTTTCTGAATAGCCCCCCCTACTGAAAAAAGTTTGCTACTCTCCGTTCTTCAACAAGTTTTGGGGGCAGGTACACTTTCACAAAAATTTGTTTCTTGCCGATGATTTCTCCCCTCCTGAGAACATTTCCTGCTGGTCTATCTCTCGTAAACTATTCGTCATTTGTTTGTCCAGTAGTCACTGCCTAATGTACGTTAGTCGAATCTGTCAGTCCTGGTTGCCCAGAAACCAGACAAAATCAAGGAAAAAGAGAAAGGGAAAGAGAAGAAAAAAGGAGAACAGTAAAGAAAAACAGATGTGCTTAGTTCAAGAGGAAACACCTAGGCTTTTTGACTTGGTACACGGATTAATTTTGAGGTGAACTGAACAAATTTTTTTGATTCGGTTTTGTTAGATTATAATTTTGAGTTTACTAAAAATTCGCGCTAACTTTTGATTACAGTGCGAGCCGTGGCCTTGCATGTTTACGAACTTGCTCCACTGTGTAGTCCACTGACTCATGCAACAGAGGGTTGCTGTGCGATTCCGCTTGACTATAACGTCACTGCGCCTGAAGCTTGACATAATCCCTCAAGTAAGGAATGTCAAGGTCTCTGTGTAGTGTCTCATTTGAGACCATGGAGCACTGCAAATTGTCCGCAAAGTTCTGCTTTGCAGTACTTGAAGACTTTGCATGTGTGTCTTGGCCTGTACTGGCCGTGTTGTCGTCAAAACATTGTTAATGATCCGAAACTTCCTTCCTTCAAGAAAGGATTTCAGTAATTTTAGAAGTCTATCTCTCGTCTAATTCCCGCTATAACTTGTAAAATACCGGTCGCATATTGATGACAAGTTTACGACTTTGTCAAGGATAACAAAGGTCTGTAGTTTTTTAAAACCAATCCAGTGATGACGAAGCCACAGTGAAAAAAAAAACAAAAATCTTTCAAGCCTTGCTGTGATAAGGAATATCTGGCCCCCTGATCAAAGGAATATCTTTTCGGGGTTGGGAAAGTAGGGGTAATCTCAGTTTTTTAGCTTTCTACCATCTTTACACGCTTCCAGCCCCGGCATGTTTACGCACCTCCAAACATAATTCACACAACATATATTTCCCTATACATTTGCCCTTAAATAGCATTAAAGACAATTATTTTCGACACACACGTCGCACGCAGTGCAACAAATGTAGATATACTTGTGTCAGCATCTGATCGATGGGTGGCTAGTAAGCTAGCGAGGTTGGGAATAACAACGTTGTCAGATGGTGGTCGGAAAGGTGAAAAATTTCTAGATCGCAGCATTGTCAAATGGTTGGGAACTATGGACCAGTTGTACAGGCCTATTTGACTGAATTGATCCATTTAGCTATTTCATTAGGGAGTCCTTTACCGGCTTTGAAGAGCTAAAGATGCAGTCGGCCTCTTGGGGGCAGCATATCTCCTACTGAAATTATTGCGTTTACCCAACATTTACCATGTCCACGAGTCCGTACCACGAGTTTTGCCTCCAACGAACTGCCTTGCCCCCTATCGGCGACTCTGCAGGTGTCCAGTTTCCTTTTTCACTGGCATATATTGATGTTATGAAACAGATAACACACTATCGGAAGACATTTGATATGAATGATATAGAATATTATTGACTCCAACAAGGTTTTTTCTTCTTAAAAACTTTGGATATTAATAGAAATATAATCACGGTTTTTCCTAAACAATTTGATTTTCCAGGAAAAACGATATCTTAAAATATAAATAGATCTCCTTATATATATTTTAGGTTAGTTTGTTGGTATATTGTTAACGTTATATGAAAAAAAAATCCGTGGTATGTTTCCCTAATAATCTTACAATTTCGTTTTATTTCAGGGTTTAAATATTTAACACGTAAGACTGGGGCGCACGACAGTAAAAATGGTGAGTATTATTTCCGTATTTTTTTGTTAGCTTTTGAATCATTTACCTAATATGACGTAATAATACGGGTGTCCCAGAAGTAGACGTCAAGCCGGATACGGGGCATCCCAATTCATAATCAGAAAAATATAAGAAAATCTACGTACTTTACAAATGATAGGGCTTGTAAAAAATCGGAAAAATCTACACTCTGTGATAATCTTTTAGTTCCCATTACTACAAATTTTTCTTAGACGGAGTGACGGACAGAGTCACTGTACGTAGTGTTAGCAAGGTAGATAGTAACGCCATCACATATTTTTAGCTGCACTAAACGTCACTGTATTAATCCATGATTGTGTAGTGCCACCATGCCTGTGTACACTGTACAGAAATTCGCCAAAATGCAAGCTTGTTTAGGGGGAATGCAGATGTAATGTTAGTGCTGCAACTAGGCTTTATCGTAAGAAGTACTCAAATGCTTCTCATCATCCCGATCACCGAGTTTTTGTGAATGTGCGCCGTTTACTCTCAGAGGGACTATTCCCAAATTAAGCACATGGTGAAGGAAGAATTTCCTTTCCTTCAAGGACGTCGAACCACAAACAAGAGCCGAGTTCCACCTACCGAAAATAATTCAAAAGAACGAGCTCCACCAGCTCTCCAAGAGTTGAGTTTTGTCAAAAAATGTTACAGACACCGGGAAGATCCGTGATTTTTAGAGAACATTTTATGGACTGATGAATACATATTTAAAAAAGATGGTTACATCAATCTACACAAATTTACACGGTATCGTTTTAAAGTAAACATGTGGACCGGTATTCTAAATGGGAGAACCATTGTACCCTTTGAGTTGCCAGAGTTTTTGAATGGCGGAATTTATTTAGACTTTTACAGAATCATTTACCGAATTTATTGAAAGACGTGCTACTAAGCATTTACAGAGACGTGGTACCAGCAAGACGGCGCGGCGGCTTGGCTGCTGCTGAAGGAAGGTAGTTTGAATATTTATCGTGAATTTAATAAATAAAAGTTGCGATACTAGCTGTCTTACTGTCACTACGTCAAATTACACTGTCCATTAGTCCGTTTAAGAAAAATTTAAATTTGTAGTAATGGTAACTAAAATATCATCACAGGGTGATTTGTTTAAAGTCTATAATTCAAGAATTACACGATTTAGATTTTTTAATATTTTTCTGATAACCATGACTTGACCTGTGCTCTGTTTGCAGCTTGACATCGACTTCTGTAAAACCCTGTATACCGTTTTAAGGTCTGCCAGTGTCTACCACTGTGACCGTAAGGATGTACTGGCTATCTACAGTAGTTTTTTCGTATAAAAAAAGCACGCGCAGGCACTATTACGGTGGTAGCCACTAGGCCATACAACTAGTAGGCAAACAGAGTTATAAGATGCAGACTTCAGTTGCAGACACTATTTGTCGGAGCTAGTAGCTAGGCAGATCCATCGTCCATTATTCATACATTCTTCCATCATTTATTGGTCTCTGCGCTTTTCGCAAAATCAACCAGCTGAATTGAAGTGTCCTGGATAGTCACGCTTGACGCCATACCATACACACTGACTTTGACTTAACTTAATCGATATGAAATGCACTCAAACTAGGCGGACAATCCACATGACCATCATCACTTCACCCATAGCTCGGAATGTTATTTCCGAGGCCGGGATTCGAACCCGCGGCTTAACTGATGTAACAATAGCTCGACACTCTAACACACCGGTCTACCCAGCGCCCCTTCGTCCATTATTCGTTAGGAGTTGACGAATGTGGTTCAATATGCGCATCCCCTCGAGTGACACGGTCACATGAACGCTTAGTTCCCGCCAATACCATATAAAATGTATGGTAAATATACAGTGAGAAAGAAAATAGCACACCCACTAACATTTATTTTATTTGAATGAAGATTTGTATACAGTTTGACATAACCGAAAGAGGAAGTCGTGATTAAGTATTGAAGTGAAAACATTTACGGTACGCCAATAGAATGTGATAGACGATCTTGATATCGTATAAATTCGTACAATCTTCGGGGCATGCTTCTCATCAGGTGACGTATATCTTCCTGAGGTATATCACCTTAAGCCGGCTGTACTTGACTCCCAAGAGTTTCTAACATTGGTGGAGGATGAGGTGAAGAGGTCGCCCTATTGGCTAAGGAATGATGTTCATTTGACCGATATTGAGGTAGTCGACTGTAGCTCTAACATTATGTGGATGGCCATTATTTCTTTGTTGGAAAACAGGGTTCTAGTATTCGCTGGAAGTACCGTTGTGACGTCATATTTCAACTAATGGAAACTCTTCAATCCGTGAATCCTGCAGTATGGTGTAGGAGACGTTCAACTAAGAGGTTTATACCATGTCTTTTTCCGAGACAACTGCTGACTCGTATCCGTCCAACATGCCTAACGGGGACCGTGAAAAGTGTGAAAATGAATGATTAAATATTATTTTTGGCAATGATCTCTATTCCGTTTTCAGTTGAATGTCACATATACCTTACTGTAACGGTTATGGTTTAGGGCGCCATTAATTATGCTAAGTCACTTTCCATTGCAGGAGGAATGATGGTGCAACGGTATATCCAAGAAATACTGGATCCCCATTTTTTGAAATTCCACCGAATGCTTAAAAACCTATTTTCTAACATAATGCCCATCTTCATATTGCTAGAGGTACAATAGACTACCCAATAACGCTCAAGCCAGTCGCCTTTCTTGACCTCCTAGATCTCCAAACTTTCCGCCAAGTGAACATAAATAGGATGAGACGTAAGGAAGGGTGGCCTCTTTACCTCAACCTCCATAAACGCTAGCGGCAATTTGCAACCAAGTGCAGCTAGCTTGGAATGAGGGAATCTAGCAAGACATAAATCATTTTAATGGAACAAGGTGATGAAATCAAATGGGGGGGGGGGTGTCCAAAAAATGGTGAAACCGTATGATCTATAGGTCTAGCGTACGTATGACCTACACAGTCTTATGGCGAGGCTTCATGTCGTTACTCTTGATATCACGAAAGCGTTCGATCAGCTGAGGCATGCTGCCCTCTTATGCAAACTTTCATCCTCTGGCCTCCCAGAGAAGCTTTGCAGATGGGTGGCTGACTTTCTCTATGGCGGATCAGATTTGCTGATGTCAGCACCCTACATGCAGCAAGCTGATCTCTGTCAGTGAACTGGAAAAAATGAATTCTAGCAGCGACTTCCCCTTTTACGAGAGACCTAGAGGTTATCACTGCTTGCAACAATCTGGTACAGTTTAATGCTTCCAAATCATAATGCTGTACCTTGACGAACAAAAAGCGGCCTAGCGTTCATCCGTTTCCGATATATGGCCGAGTTCTGCCAAAGAGCCGTTCATTTCGGCTGGTCGGAGTCCAGATCACCGAGGGCTTGACCTGGCACGAACACATCTCGTCAATAGCGACAGCTGCTGGGAAAAAGCTAGGATATTTGTTTAGGGCTAAGAAGTGCTTTTCTCCACATGACCTCCTCAATCTATACAAGCCCCAGGTCTCGAGTTTGGCCCCGACTACATTATTTATGCTCGATACTGTCCAGACTTTGGCCTCCCATATCCTGGCCGTGTCGAACTTCGTACATCCAGAACTGCTCCTTTGTTCCGATGGTGTCGAGATTGTGGAACAATCTACAAGAGGAGGCTTTTCCCAATTCCTTAGACATTTCAAAAATCAGATATCAGAATTTCTTTGGGATCCTCATAGCAGCCGCTGTGTTCTGGCATTTAGGCTTCTGCCTGCGCGGCTGCTTCGGCGTAAAAAAAGGTTATTCATTCCTAAATTTGCAAACTAGTAGCTACAATAATTCTCATGTTCCAAGTTTAAGATGTTTCAGAATTGAGGGGTACCGACCGTCGGCTTTAACATTCTAATGATGAAGTATTTTGGTAGGGCTCCAAATCAGACGCGACTGGGACGTTGGGTCCCAAAAATGAATACTAGCAACGGGCCCAGATGCACTGTGTCGATTTTATATTTTTTATACCTTTACGACTTGATATCTCAATGAACTGAACATTCATGAAGACTGGCAATTTGAATGTATGATTTTTTATTGAACTATGCGCACCCGCGCTGGACGTAAGTTCTGAATACGCCTCTGAATAACCTCATCAGGAGCATGCCCCGACGACTGGACGAATGTACTCGTATATGGCATTTGGGTCACCCAGCACAATATTAGGGAAATCCAGTATACGACAAGTGTTTTCGATTCAAAGTTTGATCATTGAGATATCATGATTTTTCTTTGAGTTGTACTTTCTTTGTCACTGAGTATAATTTGCTTGTGGTGTCCACCAGTTGCTGAGGCCTCATATGCGGCAGCTCTAAATGTTCCCAGCTTTTGGGATATACTTAGCAATATGATCAATACTACCATGAAAATTAACGTTTGATTGGTATCGGCAAAGTGAGAGACTGACTGATGGAAGATTAGTAGTGAGTTGGGATATCTTCAGTTGATAAGTTGTATTCAACCTGTTGCTACACTTGTGAGATCCCCCAGTATTAATTCGATACAAGGATTACCTGTCGCGTCATGATGGCAGATTCCCAAGCTTCTATTAATACCATGATAATGTGATAAGCGATTAAGTTATTATCCTTATCTGCTATTCAAATATTGTACTATAAATAACATCTTAATCTTGCGCGAGCATGGTCAGTAGAAAATTCTTAGAAAACAATTTGTTGTTATTTACACTTTGATACATATGCACTAGTTATACGTATGTAAAATGCACCATGATTTGATTTTTTTTAATTTTGTGCAATGCAATCTCATGTTTGCCGAGTATATTGCACTAATAGGTACATAATCACTAGCCTTCCTTCAAAAATGGTATCTGTTAATTTTCATTTAATAAGGATAATAATATATAATTATATATTTGCTCTAGATTAGTTCTTGGGCGTGTTATTTAATTATTATTTGATCTGTATCTATTATATCATACATATATAATTGAATGTCTTTTTTTACACGACTCAACATGCTACCGATTCTCAAGCCCCTTATTTACAAAGGCTTGAGCCCAGTGTACGAGAAGACTAATTTTGTCCAAACACATTGAGGAACGGTTGGGGAGAGCATCGAAAATGATTTCTCTCCGGTTGCACACAGAGACGAGAGAAAGGAGAGGTTTTTCTTTCTCGGTATGGGGCAGCATGCTGTGGACTCCCGCGGTCTCACAGTGGATCAAAAGTCCTAAAACAAGGCAAAAACTAGAAAGATTTACTAAATTTCACCAAAAAGCTCCATTCACATGTTTTCGATGTCGCTGATAACGTATATGATATGACACAAATGAAAGTAGCGGATGCAATATGGGAAACATGTTTGCAAAAAATGTTTGGATTGCACTCCAGTTCCAATTTTGTATGTATGCACTGAGAAAATCAATTAGAATTTTATGAATTAGACATTATGTAGGTTTTTTACGTAATAATCCTGCCGAAAGCATACCTGAAACTGCATAAGGCTACTTGATGTGTAGAAAAAAATGTACTTTTATTTCTGATAATAAAACAATAGTGCATTCATTGACCTGTCGTTCTCGTTCCGTCAGCAGGTGATTCTCCTACACACAGTGTTTCATTGGGAGCGAGAAATATTCTAATCATGGTTGTGGGTCACTAAGCGTCTTATGTTGGAGTATTTCAATTGATCACTATAATTGATTCACTCCACAGCTAATAATACAATAAAAACAACGGAAACATTAGAATATGAAGCTCCTCGCGAAAATCACAAATGAAACCGAGGAGCTCGAAGCACGTCACCTGCATTGCATCTGTTGCATACTCCCGATCATTCACGAATGACCCGAGTGCTGCTTAGTCTGCGAGTCAAATAAACAGTTTAACTGTTTTTATTAAAATGTTGAATTGTTTCAAATTTATGTTTTCTACATAAACTCTATTACATAAACTAATTAAACAGTTTAATAAAACAGGTACATGGTTTACTATTTTCAAGAAAATTAATTTAATAATACTTTAAAACAACTGTTTCATTTACCTCATTTAATTTGATATAGATTTATAGAAAATAAAAATGGTGGATTCAATATGGCAGAAAGCTAAAAAAGTGCATAAGGTTGCGCCCAGATTCTAGTTTTCTATGTTTTAAACGTCGCTAATAACGAATTTAGTACGGGGTTTCTAAAAATCAAACTGGCGGACATGCTAGCAAAAAATGTCTTGATTGCGCTCAAATTCGAGGCATTTTATGTTTTTGTTGTAACTGACAACGAATTTAATATCGTTTTTTTTTTCGAAATCAAAATAACGCAGTATGCAGGAGGCTGAAGTCAAAATCGACATATTTTTGTGTTTACACATGCTAGCTACTATTCGAAATAAAGTTGACTTTAATTGACCTTTTTTCTAAAAAAAAAAAATTTTTTTGTATCAACTAAATTATGCATCCCTATAAGTGTGAACAGAATCTGGCCCTTTGACTAGATTTTTGGTTCTCGACCCACTGTGGGACGCCAGTCTCGGCATACCGCGGTATTGGTATGCGTTGCTGCGAGTGACATCTTTTGTTGCACTATTGACAAGGCTTTTTTAACTTTATCATTGACTCTCACAAGTGTAGCATAAGTTGCGTTCGTTCTACACCAAATCTCAAATACGCTCAGCTCACTTCAGTTCATTTTACCAAAACTCAGTTTGAACGAGACGAAATTTATCTAACCCTTACCCCGAACTGAATTACTAATAGACCAACTTCAGTTGAGTGCATTTTGTCCTCACTCGCAGCTTTTTTAGATATTTTAGGTCATGTGATAAAGGTTTGCTCAGCTGTTCTTTTTGAACACTGAAATATATACATATAGCATTCAGGGTGTTAATTAAGTATGTACCATAAATTTACGAGACGATTCTTTGGGTAATTATAAGGCAAGAAGTTTATATAAACATAGGTCTGCAATTTCTTCGTTCTCAAGATACAGGGTGTTAAGATAAAAAAAAAAATGTTTTTCGTAGATATCTTAAATATCCTTTACCTAACTTTGCTGTAATTGGGCGGTGGTATTTATAACATTAAGGAGCTAATTTAACCCTTACTTGGTTAAATTTATTAAGACAGAAAATGTAGGCCACTGACTTTTGTGCAATTATGTTCTTTAGATCAAGCAAATAGAACTACAACTTTTTTGTCTCTTGAATTGAATTTTTTTCGTATCTTGTTTAGTTTTTGAAAAAAAAGTCCACTTAATTGCATATTCCTGGACCACACAAGGAATATGGGGAAACGTTTCTTTTAAATTTTTTTTTCATGAAATTGTATTACTTATCAGGTTAATGTTATTTAGTATTTGTTGCTCTTGTTACAACTACCAATAAAGAATTCAAGTTGTGAAAAAAATTGAAGGTAGACGAAAAAGTTGTATTTCTATTTGATTAATTAAAATAACATAATAAGAATTGCACAAAAGTCAGAGGCGTACATTTTTTGTCACAAACATTCGTTCAGATCCCGCTCGAGACTCTACTGGACATGATAAATTTAATCAAGTTAGGGCTAAATTAGTTCCTTAATATTATAAAATACCACCGCCAAATTACAACATAATTAGGTAAAGGATATTTAAGATATTTACGAAAAACCATTTTTTTTAACTTAACACCCTGTATGTTGAGAACGAAGAATTTACGGACCTATGTTTATATGAGCTTTTTATGTGAAAATGACTCAAAGAATCGTCTGTTAAATTCATGGTACATACATAATTAACACCCTGTGATTCACTGATTTGGCAGCCTCATTTCTATTTGGACTGTCTCACTTTACTCTCAAAACGATCGTAACTATTGTATTTACCATGCATTGTATGTCTCTGAGCTATTGTGAAAAGGGGGCTTATGAAAATAGAAAATCTGAGTTGCCACAGAATCAGTACCAAGACTATAATGTGAGGTGTTTTCTACAAACATATCCCTATTTCACGATTTTGATCCGCTTACAGTTTCCCCTCTATTTTACAAACGCGAATAAACAGACAATCTCAATATTTTTTGTTTTTTTACAATGTTGTACTGCCGATTTTTTAATTGAAATTTTAATATTTTGATAGCCATGTTCCTATGGAGCGATCACACAAGTGGGTGATTGCTCAAAAGTAAAGAATACTGATTGGGAATCAACCGAAAAAGACCCAATATTATATAATTCTAGGAAGAAGAGAACAAATGATCATCTGGTGGTAGGTCACAAAAAGGGTACACTTTGCATGCATGGAAGTAGAACTTACAGAGTTATTATGACTGTATGTGCAGAAGTTAATTTTTTCATAGGTACCGTGCTCCCGTTATGTGGATACTGGTTTATAGACTTTACCTTTGACATACCGCGAGTGCTATAAGGAAATGACAAATCTTTTTTATCATATTTGTAGACCACTCAAGTTAGCAATCTGACCGAAACGAGTGGTATTTAAAAAGAATCCGTTTTCATTAAAAGTTTAAGAAATTACATCTCGGCGGTACTCGCTCAACGGTACTGGGTTTTGGAAGCAGATTTTTACGATCCCTGACAGTAATGACCTCCGAGGTTCTATGCTCTTCCAGGCAGTAAAACAGTGTCTGTGTGTGATTTACGATTAGATCGGGAGCGTTAACCAAGTTAAGTTCAGTTAATGTCAATGTTGAAGAAGGTCACTACCATCATGATTCAAGTGCGTAATATTCGAATACAATAAATAACCATTAAATACTGTAACTGCCATTCAAACATAAGATAAATAAACTAAATCTAGCCGCCATCGACTGATAAATATGTAATTATACGATAGCACCCACTTGGTATTGCCAATATTCTTTTCGTAATCGATGTTGATTGGGGCATCTTTTTCATCTACTTATGCAGTCCAATTCTGTGTAATTTTTTAACCATTAGTACATAGTTGTATCTTTAGATCATTGACGATTCGTAGTATACCTAATCTGAACTGCTGTCAAACTATTCAAAATTCTGAAAGCAAATGCTGAAGATTCAAGTACTCTTCGCAGAGAATATTTTTGTCAAAACAAATGTTTTCCAAAATTCCTTAAATTGACCGAGTGGGTAAAATAATGGCGCCTTTAAATGCAGAGGTATTCGGATTTTTACAACGCAATACGTATCCTTGCTCTTGGTATATCACATTTTGTGGTGCCACGTGCCAAATTTCCTTATAGGATATATCTGTCTAGTCCAGCCTCTTACATCCTTGAGCTAAGAACATTGCCTTCTGCCAGGATCCTTCCTTCCTGCAATCCTACTCTCCATTGTTAATCTCTTATCGCGTGTCTATATAACTAGTCAGTCGTTTTTTAACAGTTTTTGATTTTTGTCGGTCCATTTTTTCATCAATAAACTTTTAGGAATTTTCCATAGCCTCGCACATTTGACCTTTAGATGTGACCTTGATCTTAATAGATCGTAGAATGTTCTATTATTGCCGATATCAAAAATGGCGTCAAGTGGGTTGACTTGCACTTCCTATGCAACGCCGTCGTCAGTTCGTAAACGATTAAGTTCAGCGCAATTTAAATCCTTTGAGAAAATATTGGGTTACTGACATGTAGAATAGAGAAATTAAACGTATTAAATCAGACAAACGGCCAATACAGTTACTCTATAGACATTTTTCCCTGCGCTACTGATAGTTACCGAGCATGTGGCAACGTTGTCCTGTTCCACATCTGAGCGGCATCTCTGCAGCGAGTTATCTTTCGGTTCGGGCAAGCTCCGTCCGTTTTTTGGGCTTCAGTTCGAATATATAAGCCAGGCGGTTCGCACGAGTACTCGTATCGAAAACATTCATAAGTTTTAAAGATGTGTGAAACACGGCTAATAGGTGGATAGAATTTACCGGGGTTGGGAGTGTATGAATACACTAAGAACAAAAAAAATCATATACATTCCCCCACCCCCTACAACACCCAACCCCCAAATTTCAACCACTACAAAAAAATTTTATTTATTTTTCGTTTTTGGTCTTTTTATCCGCCATCACTACTAGACCGATTTTCAAAAAAATGTCCAACCTTGGCATAGTAGTAACCTTGTGTGAAAATTTCCTCAAAATCCGAGGGCTATGAAATTAGCGGACTGACAGACATACAGACCGACGGAAATGAGTGACATGGTTTTTCGTGATGTACATGGTATATAACATCCAAAAAACAATATCTCAATTTAGAAATTTTTCGCATGTACAATACTTCCTCACCAGTTTTGGCATAGGAAGTGAAAAGTAAAAAAAAAGTTGACCTTGAAATAATCTTCAAAGTGAGGCTCAAGGTCAAATGCAAGGTTATCATTGATCTCCCTGTTCAAATTAAGTGAAGATCTGACATTGATCATTTTCAAAAATACGTTAGCTGGGAAAATCTCCTCCAGTCTGATTTTAGTTAACTGTGACACCCTTTGGGTATCATAATGAAACCATTTTGTGGTCAAGTGTGTTGAAATCATATGGTAGAAGATAGGTAGGTTCCAGGGCTAGATTGGCTTTTTCGAAAAGCTTCAGTTCTATTAGGACTAACGTGGAGGGATTAAGAAAAGGGTGGCTCCTCAAGTGGCCTAAACGCATATCGGGCTTACTCTGCCTTTTCATTCAGTAAATCTCAAAAAAAAATAACGAAACATTGTAGTCAAGCTATGAGATAAGCTTAACCATGAACATGGGGAGTTGAAATATTACTGCATGGGTGGAAAAAGAAAAGTTGTTCCGCTATTCCTGTAACATGGTAATATCAATACTATCAATCTTGTCGTAGACAGTTTGTTTACTAACCCGTTCAATAAATTTCACCACCTTACTGGCACCTGCTAATTTCCAACTTACCTTTCCTGTTTTCCTTTTATATTTGTTCTCTAACTTAATGTGGATATGTAATTATGATATAGTAGTTTAGTGATAAAAGACATCGAGTAGATTGACTCAACAAAGATTGATTCATACCAGTGACTCGTTTATAGTTCCTTTCACGGTTTTTGGTGGTTCCATCACAATGTCAAACAAAAAAGGTAAACGGCTCAATTTCCCCAAGGTAAATTCCTGAAACAATCCAATAAATTTAATATAGCCTGTTGACATTGCTGTTGATAACAAAGATTAACAAAAGGTAAACTTAAATCGTACTTCCATGACAAGCAAGTTGTCATATTGACTGCATCAAGCTTAAATGTAGAAGATTCATGCATTGATAAGAGGATTTTTTAAGCGATGAAACAAAACAAAAAGGCGTAAGTCTGTGAACTTGCACAAACGCCTGCGCATAGAGGCCGATTGCATATGTAAGTGTGAGGGAGATGGCTGTATAAAAGTATCTGCTGTAATTTTACTGTGACCCGCCAAAAACAGTGAAAACACCTGTTCTTACATTGGTGTTATACAAAGTATTTGCTAAAGATGAGTTCGAAAATTCGAGGGACAACTATTCAAGCCCATTGTGTTTAATTTTTTTTTTGTTCTTGATTCAGATGGTGCAGTTTTAGACTTGTCTGTTATTTTGAGGGAATTGTGAAAGAGGTTTCTTAATGTTTTATGTCTGTTACATAAGTGCTGTTAATGTTACATGCACAGTATTTGATATTGGTTTTTCTTCTATGCAGACAGCCACCACAAATACAAATGGCGGTCCAACGGAGCTGGATACATTCCTTCCCCAGGACAACTCGAACACAAATGGAGTCACCAAGTAAGTTCTAATAATTATTCCATTTCGAAGTATTGATCTAATTATTAGCCAAGATTCGTACATTAGTAATCAAGGATCCAAAAGAATTCCCTTCCGGCAGTACATGCTTATGTTCCAGCGAGTACTTTTAGGTATCCTGCCAGTTACCGATAGTATCTATAGCCTAACAAGCTACGGATTGCCGTGGTATGTCAATGCCTCTCACAGCAGGATCCCACACCATGCTCTCCGGTGCCAAAAGAGACATTGAGCTACTGAAGAGCATACTGTGGGATCTCGCAGCGTATTTTTTAGCTTTTATCGTAAGATCATGGGAAGCAGTCATTTTCATAAACGTTGTATCCACCCTTCTATGTTATATTTTGAGGATTTTCAGTAGTTTTTACACTACCAAAATACACATTCATGCTGCCGATACAACCTCCATGTCTTGTTCAAGTCCAATTATGTTACTTCATTTATTTAAAAATACTAGTAAATCTGCCATCTAAAAAATTAACATTATCTCCATTGAATACAAAGATTGAGCTTTCACTTGAACACTGCAGTTTTTCAACATTTGTGAAGGAACGGGTTACTAATATTTTTGTAGATTTGTGCACGATAGTCAACTCCGTGTACAAACATTTTTGATGCTGCTGTAATATATAAAAACAGTGTATTGCTGCGACAGTGAGGCTAGAAGTTCTATTTCTTCAAAATTATCAAGCTGATGCTGCAGGAAAAAACTGCCACTTAATTTATTATATGTCGAATAATTTGAAATGAAATATTAGGGAGTGTTCAGTTTCTTCAATAAACGAGCTTTTTTGAAAATCTCACTTCTATAGTTGTTATTAACGGGAGTTCTTTTGCTTATAAAAGCGTTCAACATCGATTTTTTCAAGTGAGTTTCGCTCGGCGTTTATGAGGACCCTTTCTGTAGAAATGGTACCTTTGATAGTATGTGGATAGTATATTACTTTGAAATTAATATGAAAGGTTTTCTATTTCCGAAAATTATTATGAGAGAGAAATCCTTTTCTAACTTTCTACTGTATGTGTTGCAACAGACAACGACAATATTGCAACTAGTTACTTCTGCTCAAACTTGAAACAAAGGACTTTCTTCCAGATATAAGGTGACCAAAGGAAATGATCTGGAAGCAGCCAATACAGAATTTGACCCATTTAAAAACAGGCAGAATGACCACCCAACGACGTAAGTATGACCGGTACATCTGGCAAAGCACAACTATCATACTTATCTCTGTCAAAATTAAAAATTATCTAGTTAGTATTCATAAGAATTATTTATACGGACATTCTTTTTTTATAGAAATTTGAATACATTGACTCACCTGCTGAAGGCATCTCTCGGCACAGGAATCCTTTCCATGCCAGCCGCGTTCCAGGCAGCCGGCTTAGCTTTAGGCATCTTTTCCACAATTCTCGTATCTATCATCTGCACACACTGCGCCTATATTTTGGTAAGTAATATTTGTTCTTTACTTTACTAGCAGCTGAGCGATCTATAAATGACGGTTATTTCTGAAACTCCCACCCCTTGCAGAGTTCATTGGTTGATTCGTCAGTTTAAACTTCACAAGACATAACTTCATCATTTGGAAGTAACCGAGGCGCAGATTTCAACAGTACCGAATTTATTTTCAGTAAATATACTCGTACAACAGAAATATCTTCATACACAAGTCAACGCATAATAGATACGAGTACTGAAGTATAGTGACTGCAATAGATAAAGAAAACTAAAGATATCTTGGCGCCCGCAGGGATTTTTCTCAGGGAGGGCAGGAGGAAAAAACTACATATTACCATGATCTATCAGTCCCCCCAAAAAAAGTGTAGAGTGGGGGTAGCAAATGTACTCAGAGACAACTTATATTAATATAATAAAATAATATTAAATATTGCACACAAAACTGCTAAATACACAAATTTCAGGTTGCATATTTTTAGAGGATTGGAAATATTCATTCAGTACTCATAGAATTGTTGAAATTCATTCACTTTCGAATGAGTAGGTAACTACATCCTTTCCATCCGAATTCGTCTAATATGCGTTTATCATAATCCAAGGTAATGCACATTTTAATTACCCTTATAGGTTACATCCGCCCATGAATTGTACAAAAGAGCACACAAAACGAAAATGAGTTTCGCCGATGTAGCTGAAGAAGCTTGCCTGAGAGGGCCAAAATGGGCCAGAGGATTCGCTGGACCTATACGGTAATAAAATATAAAGTTTTCCTTAAGATACGCGTCAGTATGTCCGCGACATATGCATAGGACAATTGTTCTACAGCACCAGCTGCCAACCAGCTTTCAGGATCGACGGTTAGAGGTAAATTCAATTCGACCCACGCCGATGTTCCTTTGTTCTTCCAAGCTGCTCAAGCCCTACCTGCGGCATTCGTATACAGGTTACTCGCACGGTGGTATCGAGGTGCATACCCATGAGACGGCGAAGTGCAGCTAGAACGCTATCGTAGATACCTTACCAATCCTGTTTGTTTCACTTGAACACCGCCAGATGGGGCATCATGCAGCTTGACGAACAAAGGAACAGTCACGTGGCTAGGACTGCATTTGCCTCTAACACTCGATCCTGGAAGTTGGTTAGCAGCTGGTGCTGCAGACTAATTGGCGGAATGGAGGATATGCGAATTCTCTTCCTTTACATAGGATAACGGAGATATGTTCCGAAAAAAATCTGCGATATCAAACGCGACCCTGCCTCAAAAAAAAAACACATTAGGTAAACAGGTGCATGTAACACTAGCCAACCGGCAGGCAATGGAGTCCTATATCCTAGGTTGAGTTAGAATCCATGATCCTAATTTAATATCAAAGCGTTTTTTTTGGCTTCATATTACGTTTCACGGTTGCGGGATAATGAAATTCTAGACTTGGAAAGTAAAATGATCGCTATAGTCTTATTTACTCTACGTATATTTACTGATGTTTCTTTGAATCGTGTTTGATCGGTATGATGGGTAGAATGCAATCATTTGGTGTGTTTATTGTGTTGTAAGATAGGCAATAAGAGTTTTGTTTCAAGCTTGCGTTCTGGTATTATATTCCTCAATTATTATTTGATACACTTTTAAACGCATGCGCCGAGTTCATCATAATGAGCCGTTGAAAGCCAGGATGGTCCAAGTCAAAAAACGAGATATAAGGTACCAAAGTTTAGGTGCTGCTGATAAATCTAGAATAACAAAACTGCAGAGATAAATCAAAATACCATTAAAGGAAGTATCAATTTGAGTATCTAACTGTAAAATACAGGAACATTTTGTGTTCATGTATCTTTTTCTCTTGTGTTGAAGTTTTAGCTCACTTTGCTTTAAAACAGTTTTTATCTTTGGTTTCATGTATTACTTCAAAATCGAGTTACACAATAATATATCTATTGACGATCTTATAAAACGACAAAATAAATCATTATGCAGTAAAAAAAATAGGCGTATCTCTTCAACACAAAAAACTAGAAGTCTATCAACTGACACTACGCTTTAATAGAATTTCTCAAAATTTGCTAGTCTTTTTCTTCTTCTTCTTCATTAGCAGGGAGTGGTCCAATATCTTCCGAACTTGCATCTTTGAAAAAACTATGGAGCTGGAGGTATAAATTGTAAAAGGTTATATTTTTGAAGTTTTTGGGTGCGCCTTTCCGATGTTGCAGCAAATTGATAACGTCAAACGGGAAAACCTCATACACGGTTTCTTTGTAGAGAATTTTGTAAAGTTCTTTTTTCTCAAGTGAAGCCACTGAATGCGGAGCCATGATACAGGGGCGTTATCATCATTTTTTTTTCGTCTTATCACAGATTTCTCTAATGTTGTTGATGACAAGAAATCAGTACTTACTTTGCATTTCATAGACGTAAAAGGGTTTCCTGGGTCTGCATTTTTTTATTGATGAGTACCAGTCTTCTGGCCCGTACTTGATGCGTTTTTTCATGTTGTTCTATGAGACCAAAATCGCGGCCATTAGACAGGAACGAATGGCCAGAAACCATGAACTTGTGATCAATAGTTCTGTATCGGCTAAGACTTTGAGACAAAAAGGCATTGCTTGAAACTACGGTTTTGACCACCGCAGGCGTCACTGTAAGAGATTATTTGACTAGCCCCTTTAGCGTGGACAGAAATGTGTTCCATATTCATGACCCTATTTCTTGTGCCCCAGTGATGCAGTAGTCCAGACATTCATGAAGCCTTTTTCATCTTCTCCTGGTTACCTATTTCACTTATTTCCTCACCTGATGATGACGATCCAAACAGCTCAGAATCTTGTTTCCTACTCGCTTTGGCTGGCACTGAATGGTTCTTTTCATAACCGCTTAAACTCATCTTAAACAATGAAACTTCTAACAGTCGAATCGTCTTCGGTATGTCAACAAATGTAAACTATTGGAAACCAGAGTGGGTTAAGTCACCCTTACCCTTATAACGGTTACAGCTTTTCTTTAATATAATACAGGGTGCGGCAGAGAGGATGGACGGTTTTAAAAAAATCATAAAATAGTTAATTTTTACTCGAAAACAAATTTATTGATGGAATCAGGTTCACAAGGAAATAGCATTTGAGACAGTCAAGTGTGGAAAATCACATCAGGCATGTGGTGGCCGAAATCGTTGATGCAGAGCTGGAGGCGTTCTTGGAAGTTCGCGTAGACTCCCTCCAACATCGCTCTCTCAACTTGGGCGACTTCCACGCGAATTTCGCTCTTCAATTCGTCCAGAGTTCGGGGCTTGTTCGCGTATACTCTAGCCTTGAGGTGTCCCCATAAGAAAAAATCGCATATGGATAAATCTGGGGACCGTGGAGGTCAAGGCCAAACCTGGAAATAAGGCGACCAGGGAAGAGAGGGCGAATAACGTCCATGGATGCTCGGGCTGTGTGGGCGGTCGCCCCATTCTGCTGGAACCACACACGTCGGATTGGAACACGTCGCCCTCGTAATACATCACGTCGACGTAGCACTCTGAGTTCACGGTAACATCGCGAAAACGCGGTGCTCCACTATCCAAGGCTCCATAACGACAACTGGTAAAATAATGCTAGGATCTCACGAGTCAAACGGCACCCTCCCCACCTCTCTCGTAGACGGAGGCGGTGAGTACTACCCATCCCAAAAACGTCCGTCCTCTCTGCCGCACCCTGTATAAACACAAATTGGTGCCATCTGTGAGCAAAACTTAAGGATACATTTATAAAAACTCTCCCAGACAACGACTGCTTCAACCAAAACAGTATGCATATGCAACCCCGAAATCTGAAATTTTGGACTTGGAGCTGTCTGGCTTTCAACGGCTGTTATATCACGAGTATAACATAACCATCCCAGACCGATCCCAAAACTTATTGGAACGTATTACGTCCTGTTACGATAACCTGATCGTTTTCTTCGACGAGTTAGAACGAAATTAAAATGTCTCTTACCTACAAAATTTTTAGTATAGTCGTAGATTCTGAAAATATCTCCATTTTTTACAGGCAACTCGTGTTAGTAGGCCTCTTCGTAACATACTTCATGACATGCAGTTGCTACGCAGTAATCATAGCCAGAAACTTCAACTACGTCATCGACTACTACGTGGGATACACAACGGAGATCAGAGTGACAATAGCAGCCCTTCTGGTCCCCATCATCCTCTTGGTTTACGTACCCAACTTGAAGTACCTGGCACCAGTCTCAATGATCGCTAATGTGTTCATGGGCATCGGTCTTGGAATTACCTTCTACTATTTGGTCACTGACGTGCCTCCTGTCTCAGAGAGAAACTTGGTCGCTGATATTTCCACTTATCCTGTTTTCTTCAGTATTACAATCTTCGCGATTGAAGCCATAGGAGTGGTGAGTATTTTTTGAGAGCTCAAAATATGCAGAAACGCAAATCTTTGGAATCATGTTGAACTTTCGGGCAGATCTATGACTTTGAGAGCTCGGCACACGCTGCGAAACGCTGCCACGCGCAATTGTATCACGAGGCAACCGAAGCGAAAAGCGGATGCGCGTTATGCGATACATAAAATCTTCATATCTTCGACCGCTGTGTGACTATGATTTTTCTGTTTGTTTAAGATTGATTTAGCATGATTGCTACAGTTACATTCTTTTGTAAAAGTACAAAAATTACATAACATACAGATATTCAGAAAAACAAAATTTGCATCTCTGAGAATTTGCACTGTCCATGAAATTAATATTCATTAATTTTATTCTAACATCTTTAAATTACAAGTAGACTTTATATCATCATTTAGTTTATTAAATTCAAGTATTTCTTTCAGAAATTATGATTTGCTAGTTCGTTATAGTACTATTGTAATTTTGTAAATGAAAATCTATATTTCCACTTGTATAATAATTGTGGTAATGCTTATTCAATTCTTTGTAGTGTTTTAAATGCTATGGCAAGATAATTTTTTATTTTAAATATAAAAACAAAAATCAACTATGATTTTTTTTTATATTCAACCAGCGCAATTTTTGTAACAGTGTAAACGTTATGGTAGTCATTATTGAAATGGGCAATAGGAGGGGTCAAAACAAGTCAAAAAGTTCATATGACCCATGGTCCAAAAGTCAATAGATTTTTGTCTAAATGGCGTTATAGTTTACAACTTTAAGTGCTTTATATCGACCACGATCACCACAATCTTACTAATTTTTATAATCTAATCTAAAACGTTTTTAAATTGGATAATTAACAAATAAATGGCATTATGTCAAAATTTGTAGTCAGTAAGTTTCATTAAATTAAATATTTAAAACACACATGACAACAGCGAGTCGGTCATTCATCACTCTTATCGAACCGGCAATCGATCGCAAACGGTAACAGTGGTTAGTTATTGTTCGCGTACGTCGTCGTGTTTATTTACAATGTTCTCGAATCAAGAGTTCGCCGACATGTTGTTAGTTTACCGTGAATCTCTCAGAATTCAAATCTTGCAGCTCAAATTTATCGCCACAGATTTCGCCAACGGGTACACCCAGACAGAAGGACACTTGTGCAAGAGTACCAAAGACTTCGAGATACAGGATGTGTTCAGCCCACTAATGTTCGCACTCGTGAAAGACAGGTTACCGTAGAGCAGGAGGAACAAATTTTAAATATCAATGCAGATATCAGCTCTCGGGAATTAGGCCGCCGCGTAGGACTATCGCATACCATAGACCATAGAATTCTACGGGAAAATTTGCTTTATCCCTACCATGTACAACGAGTGCAAGCCTTGTTACCAGAAGACTATCCTCACAGACTAACATTCTGTCAGTGGTTTTTGCACAAAAACATTGAAAACCCGGATTTTTTTAAAAACATTCTAGCGACGGACGAATCTGATTTTACGCGAGACGGGATATTAAATTTCCATAATACTCACACGTGGGCCCAAGAAAATCCTCATACTATTCGTGAAGGTAATTTCCAACAACGTTTTAAAATAAATATTTGGCCGGGTATTCTTGACGATCAGGTAATTGGCCCAAAGTTGTCAGGAGAAGGATACCCTAGCTTTCTAGCCAATAACCTACCACAACTTTTGGAACAGACCTTAGACAACATGCCATTACAACGGAGACAGAATTCATGGTTTCTTCATGACGAGGCACCTCCACACATTTTTAGAGGCGTCATTCAGTATTTGAATGAACATTATCCAAATCGCTGGATCGGTCGAAATGCTGATGATCCTCGAAAATGGCCAGCAAGATCTCCTGACCTCATCCGATGGATTTCTGGTATTGGGGAGAACTTAAAGGTTTATGGTAATAGCAACTGAAGTAAAACTTCGCGAAAAAATTTTTAAAGCGGCTGAAATAATAAATGGAGAAATAGAGTAAGTAAGTGAGTAAGTAAAAAGTAAATAGAGTAAGAAAAAACTGGGTTCGTCGTAATGAAGCTTGTGTGAAAAGTGGAGGATGACATTTTGAACACCTTCTTTAAACACAAAAAAGTACAGTGTGGGTTTTAAAAAAAACAATGTATGTATCAAAATTGTGTTCCCTATTTATAAGTGGATTTTTTTAATACGTTCAATAAACTTTCACATACCAGGTGAAGCGCTGAGACAGTTAGTCGTAAGTCCGTTTTTTTAATTGTTTGCATTTTACGAGTACATTATCAAATAATGAAATAATACCTAAGAGCCAAAAATAACAAACTCCATCTTTATTTACACTGCGTTCCGACATAATTTGCGTCTGGCATTGCGGCGTTATCAGATTTTATTTTACTTAAAAGTCGCTTTTCTCTAAAAAAAAAATTCCGTTTTGACCCCCATGTTATATGAAACTTTTTGCTTCTTTTAATCCCCTCTATCACCCATTTAAATAATGATTATCATAACATTTACACCCCGTATACTTTATTTTAGTATACTTATTAATGTTTATTATATAAGTTTGTATTGATATTTCATGGTACACAGGTTATATTTATATTATCCTACCAGTAATTTGAATTGTCTTTTCAGGTTATGCCTTTAGAAAATCACATGGCGACACCCCAACACTTTGTTGGTCTGTGCGGAGTTTTGAATCAAGGTATGAGTGGAGTTACGTTGGTCTACATGGTCATCGGATTCTTCGGTTATCTCAAATACGGTGATCAGGTTGAAGGATCCATCACTTTGAATCTACCCAAAGAAGCTTAGTAAGTATAGATACATGTTTTGCAATTTCGATCCTCATCTCCGCTCTGAAACTAGAATGAACCAGTCTGCGGACCAAAGGTTCCTATTGCATTCATATGAGTTCTCAGTTTAACTAGGTGCATAAATCTTTCAAAGTATTTGAAAATAATATGAAAGCGAATCTAGGGATACATCATATTAGTAGTTTGAAAAATCCTAGACAATCCCGCACATTATATCCCTCGGTGATGTGCCTCCATGTACATGAAGTGCTTACTTCTCAACCTAGATATATAATGCACTATTTCATCTTAATAAGTGGCTGACATGTTTTTTATCATTGTGCGATCTCAAATAAATAATATATTTAGGTATTAGAAATTCCGAATTTGTTAACAATTCTATTTATTAATAAAACTCACTTATTTGAAATCATTTGTTACAGTGCAGCACAAATCGTCAACATCCTAATAGCCCTGGCGGTTTACGGTACTTTTGGACTTCAGTTCTATGTGTGCCTTGAGATTGCGTGGGATGGCATCAAGAAACGTTTCCAGGAGAACGCTCGTATTGCCGAATACACCCTTCGTACAATCATGGCTGTGAGTAAAGTACCCCTCCAAACAATCATCTTATAGTGTGATCAAATTCTCGTAAACGGTAAACTATTATGGAAAACCGGTTTAATTAGGTCTAAGACCCAAGCAATACCAAATTTTAAAGAGGTGCCAACGTCTTGTCTCCTTGTCGAGATATAAAACATTTTAAATTACTATGGGTGATTTGAAATTAAGCCCTGCGTAGTCCTAACAAATTTGAGGTTTCATACGAAAAAAAGTACAAAACTTATGTTCTTGTAACAACGAGACATCGATATGTCATCTAAAGTAATATTTTTTAACCTACTTATTTTTTGAGCGGGACAAGTTAGCAAGCTGAAATTTGGGGTAATAAAATTGACCTATGGATACTGTATTTTATCGTAAAAGTGACAGTTGAAAATTTCATGATGGGTGGGCCATTTGGAACATTTTTTAAGTTGAATGAGGGATCATGATACCTCATTTTGGAGCTCCTTATGAGTTCTTTATAATTCTAGAATATAAAACCAACCCCGAATTTCAGCTTGCTATCTTGGCCCGTTGAAGGAAATGAGTTGAGGGACCTTTTTGAAAAGTACTGTATGTGATCTGGACAAAGGCTCACCGCCTGGGTAAACCAGACTCGTAGGTTTCGAACCTGATACCAGTTTTAACCTACCACTCACTAAGAATATCAATAGATCCGTTTACAATTCACGATTTTTTCTACGATTATATTCGTATTCAGCGCCTCAAATGACCCGTGTGTACCAAGACTGATTTATTTGTCGCGGAAATTTTGTCCTGCTATTTTTTTTATGACATCTTACGAAGGAAGAATGCTCCGAAGTATGATGTGATCAGAACAAAAGTGAGTAAATAAGGCATGTAGAATCCGAATTCCACGTCAGTTAGAACCTGGAGCCCACGGGAAGTCTCAAGCGTCTCATCTATTGCAAATAAGCTACCACAACACTGCACGATTTTTTGATGATCACATGCGTCGTCAGCGGCCCAAATTACCAAGTTTCATTCTTCTTACTACGTAAGAAAAAAAAATAGAAATTTTGATTTACAAAACCCGATAACATTTTTTAGTTTCTCATGATCAAATTGAGTAGATTCCGAATCCGATGTCAACTTGACCATAAAGCCTTCAGGAGATCCCATTTTCGACTCCACGGTACTTCAAGATTTTTTGATACTCATGTCTAACTGCATTCAGCAGTCTTGTGTACTACCTAGTAATGTTATGAATTTTTCATTACAGGTAGTATGTGTGGCTATAGCAATAGCAGTACCAACCATCATACCATTCGTCGCTCTCATTGGCGCATTCTGCTTTTCCATTCTGGGCCTGATGGTACCAGTGGCCATCGAGATGCTGACATTTTGGGACAAAGGTTTCGGCCCATTCCACTGGAAAATATTTAAGAACATCATCGTTGTTGCAGCTGGTTTCTTAGCATTAATCTTTGGTTCCAAATCCGCTATTCAGGATATAGTTTATATGTATCTAGGCAATGGTACTGTAGCAAAAGAACCAATCTTTCTAGGAAATTTGACATTAGTTGGCAATTTCAGTGAGACCACGCCTTCTAGTTAAGGTTTTAGTTATATTTGATATACCTACTGTTTTTATTTATGTTTGAACTTTTTATTGGATGATTTTATTCCTGATGATCTGATAATTGTTTTTCAGATAATGGTTGAAGCAATGACTAAATGCGTAAGAGGTCGTTCATGCTTGCGATTACTGTTACTCGACAATGTTCAACGTGTATAGCTATCTTTTTCTCGATTGACAGGCACCAATGCTTTGAACATTAATTGAGTCCTAATTGTTGCGACTACCTCAAATTAGCATTAAAGTATCGATAAAAAAGTAGTGGAAACTAAAAGTTAGTGCTAGCGAAACATTTCATTCCTTTTTAACCATTACCTGAAGAGAATTTTTAAACATTTCATGATAAAATCTAATATTAAATATGTCGAATATCCATACGAATGGAAGATAGTTCCAAAAAAGTGCAATTTTTAATGACGAAAATAGGCATAAGATTTACTGGTTTTGAAGTATATTTTATACCCTGGGCATTTATTCTGTGCACAAAGATGTCTAATGCACTTTTTTGTGCTGTTTGTTTTTCATTTTTATACCAAACACATAAAAAATAATCGAATTGTTTTTTGCATAATATATTATCTAAATATCATTAAAATTTGACTGTGATTATGTTTAACTACTGTTATGATTTGATCTAGTTTTATCATACCCATCTGAGAAATGTTGCTTACGATTTGATCATTAGTTGACCATGCACAAACGTTCTTTAGCTAGAAAAACATGTGTAAAATCATTTGAGTGTTGCTACACGCTATGATAAAACGGGAAGGGAGTTTTGGGACTGTTTCATCTTGCGCGCTGGCTAGTGCATGCCAGTTCGAACACTCCACAATTTTCCGAAGAAAGAACGTGTTTGGTCAGCTCTTCTTGCCCCAATTTAAAAGGACCATACACGCTAAGAGTACCAGCGAACAGCTCAACTCATATAATAATGGTCACATCGTTAGCGTTATATTATTGAAGACATTTTATAATTAATTTTTGTATTCCCATAAATCCATTACTCTAAAATTATGTCCATAAGCTATCATGCTTGTAGTTCATATTGGTCATTATTCTGAAGAATTACATTTATAGCACGCAACTACCGTCCTACAAACAAATGTCATAAAAATAGGAATTTGTTGTATCATACGCAATTTTTTTCTGCTTATTTCATAGTGTATTACATAGAGATTGGTGTTTTATGTCTTTATGAGACTTACATTTTTATTGTGAATATGAACTTCAGCTGTTATATTCCGAAGATTTTAGCACTGATCTCTCAAACAGGGTGAGAGGTTTTTTAATGGCAGCCTTGCTACTATTACCTTTTACGACGGCAAAGCTTTAGTAGAAGTGTTGCTGTTAAAGCACCACTTAGTTTTATGTAGGTTTGATGTAATGTGAGTACATGTTTTGCTTTTGACTCACTCAATTGACAGTTACCTATGTGACTGCGATTGGTTTGGAACTACTGGATGTACTTTTATAATGGATCATTCTTTTTTGTAAGAGTCATAGACATACGCATACTCTAGGATTATTTTTGATAGTATTGGGCTCATAGTAGGTCATTTGAAGTTATATTGGAAAATGTTGCCTTCAGGACGTTTTTCCGTAATTCCTCTATAACCTGTCCATAAGTAACGCTATTTTTTTAGTTTGTCAGATACCTATGGCGTTTTATATGAAAATATTTGTAAAATGTACATGAAAATGGACATAACATATTTTCAAAGGACCTTATTTCTTTCCAAAGTTCAGATTTATCACACCGAACATTACCTTTCCAGTGCGAGTCAGCCCAACTTTAATGGAAGCTGTATTTTAAAAAAGTTAAAAGTTGAATATATTTTTTGAATAAGATTGCGTTTTCATACAGATTTTCCTATTCCAATTAATGCGTATACCTCTCCTCGTTTCTGCGACCCTGATACAAAATCTTCAACAGTCGAAAGTTACACTAGCCATCGGGATTTTTTCGTAGAAGCATCAAACTTCTTGAGGAGCTATCAGAATCACAGAAGCGCGAGGAGGTATGAAAAAAATACTCCGTTCCAGATATCAATTGGTTCGATTACCTCTCGTCGTTGTATCATTCTGATACAAAACCATTATCCACCTTTATTGTAAAAGCATCGAAATATGTGAGTAGCATTTTGCTAACAGGGTCACAGAAACGCAAAGAGTTATAGAAAATTTACTCTTCCCCAGGTATCTTGTTGTTTCTGCGGTCCTAATACAAAATCTCCAACAATTGGAATCCACACATCGAATAATCAAACTTTCCTAATAGAAACATCCAAAAGCACGAACGACATTGTGCTAATAGGATTACAAAGACGTGAGGAGGTATGGAAAAGGTACTTCGCTTCTCATATCAACTGGCACGAACACCTTTTAGGGTTGATACAAACTGGTCAATAGTCTAAATCCACGCATCGAGTCATCAGGCCTTTGAGATTTACAAGTAACATTTGGCTATAGTCTTCCGATTTCCATTAGCGTGAATACCTCTCCTTATTTTTGAGATCTCGATACCTGAATCTTAAACATTCTAAAGTCATAAAAACGAGCCATCGAAAATTTTTCATACAAGCATCAAAAGTCTTGAGGAGAAATTTGTTATCAGGATCACAAAAACGCGAGGAGGTATAAAACAGATAATCTGCTCCTAATCTCAATTAGCTCGAATACCTCTCCTCGTTTCTGCAACCCTGATACAAAATCTTCAACAGTCGGGAGTTTTTCGTAGATGTATCACACTTCTTGAGGAGCTATCAGGGTCACAGAAACGCGAGGGAGTACGAGACAGATACTCCGTTCCTGATATCAATTGGTTCGAATACCTCTCGTCGTTCTAACATTCTGATACAAAACCATTATCGACAAAAACGAGTCAATTTTTCATACAAGCATCGAAAGTCTTGAGGAGCAATTTGTTATCAGTATCACAGAAACGTGAGGAGGTATAAAACAGATACTCTGCTCCTAATCTCAATTGGCTCGAGTACCTCTCGCCTTTTCTGCGATCCCGATACAAAATCGTTATCGACTTCTCTCGTAGAAGCGACGAAATACGAGAGTAGCATTTTACGAAGAGTTACTGTTAGTTTTCTATATTCTGCTTCAGGTATCAATTTGCGAAGAAGTCTTATTGTTTTTGTGATCCTAATGAAAAATCCCCAACTCTTGGAAACCACACATCAAACGTTCTTAGTAGATCCATAATCACGAATGGCATTTTGCTAACAGGATTACAAAAACGAGGAGATGTAGAAAAGTTACCCCGCTCCACATAGCAACTGTCACAAACACCTCTTGTTACAAACTGCTCAATAGTCGATATCCACAACTCGGGCCATCATATCTTCGCAGGAGCTCCTAGATTTATAAGTAGCATTTGGCTATCACGATCATAGGAACAGGAAGAGAAAAAGATATTCCGCTACCGATATGAATCTGCGTGTCGTGTTTGCGATCCTGGTGAAAAATCTTCAACAGTAGAAACATACAAGTTGAGCCATTAGATTTCTTTCCTAAAAGCGTTGAAATTCATAGAAACGCGAGGAAGTATGGAAAAGTTACCCCGCTCCCTATATCAACTAGCGCGAATACCTCCTGCCGTACTGCGATCCTGATAAAAAACATCATCGAGCGATCAGATTTTTTCTCGTACATTGGAGAGACATTAAAATCCATCGGGTCGGAGCAAAATCAGGTCGGTACACAGGAATTTGGCTTTTGGACTTATTCATGTCTTTCTAGAAATGTAAAACAAAAACAAGCGAACGACTGCAACATGCGTTGCAAAGATGCAAGAAATAATAACAACATTGCCATTTATATAAACTTTATTCGAACCAAGAGAATTGAACAAAAATGTTTAAATAACAATGTGAATGCTTAAAAAATATATAATGATGCCTAGGCACTGTTATCATGAAAGTGTACATTAAGTAAAATATTAGAATGTGCTATTCAAAATTTAGCCACAATCTATATAACACTGGTCTATGAAGACACGTAATTTAAGTAAAAATTGAATGTATGTTTATAAAAAATGTTATATCGGTGTTTCACATGTCGATCTTTTTGTAGTTTGAGAATTTACTGGGGTTAGTTTGAATATGAATCATATACTACCTAATGAAAGTTAATATTTTTGAACAGGCATATAGACACACATCCGTTTAACAATGTCAGGAAAAAGAGATGATTTTGTGTACCTATTATTAACAAACATAGACCAGTGTTGATCACAGAATTTATAGTTGTGAAATAAAAAAAACTACAATATCCAACTAACAAATTGGTCATATATGAAAACTATTTTGTACTTTCTTCTGTACATAAATATTAAACTGTCCAGCGATATACATATTATATATAAGGCATGATATAAATATTCGCCTAGGTGTGCTTTTCGATGACGTAACGATGTGAGATGACTAGCAAGTTGCCTAAGACTTTTTGTAATAGAAACATTTGTAATTCTGATATAATTAGAAATTACCATCCTGCAGCTTAAGTCGTTCAATTCAAGGTCTTTCGATAATTTTTCAAGATTTCGTATAGTCAAAAAAACATTCTATACATTTAATTTTTCAATTTATCTTGCTGTTACTTTCGTGTTCACGTTTAATTCAAAATCTAAGCGGTGCCGCTTTTCTCCCCAGAAACCAGATTTTCTCAGCGCCAGACAGGCTCGGAAAAGTGGTCAATGATGAAGTCAAAAAAATCGTTAATGAAACGGAGCGTCATTTGAAAATTCGTGGACAATACAGGGTCAGTATTGAAACAACTCTTTCGTTTCCATTGGTTACTTGATTACATATATGCCTGTAAGTATTAAGGTACAATGCAGATTTCGTATGAAATCACACCAACGCAAATTTTTGTATCATGTATAGAGGGCGTCCCAAAATAAGATGATATAAATGAGTCAATTGATTTCTATTCACAGCTTCATATGAGACCCCAGTTGGTTAAGGTGTTGTCAAAATTTCGTTGAGTTCACCAGTGCCCTTCAAAATTTAAGATAAATCATTTTCCAGTAGCGCCCGTTGTTTCTGTAGGGGAGCCCTGTGGAATTACTCTGTGATATTCTATACTGTGTTTTAAATTTGAGTCTCACTACTGGCATCTCGGAAACGGTAACAGAAACGAAGTGGGTCAAAAAGGGGCAAACTGTGCATTTGGCTAACTAAGAAAATGATACTTAAAAAGTTTTGTATTTCATAGTATTTATGGAGATAAGACAAATTTTTCCACATTTATTTTTTTCCCGGCTATATTCGAGATTTTATCAGAAAACAAATTGCGCATCAACCGTTTTTTCTACTCAACAACCTTTGTTCAAAAAAACCTAATGTTTCCATAGTTGGCCTCGAAACATGTTTATTATATCACCAATTAAAGATCGCTTTTGTTTTCGAGAAACGTGTTTAATGGACATTGCATCATCTCGCTATTTGTCGACTACAACAAGAGTTATTTTAGCACGACGGAGCTTCTCTACATGATACCTCAGCCGTAAATTAATATATTATTTAGCGTGTCATCGCTTTAGATATAACGGATATGGAAAGTGTTTATTAAGCTCCAATATCGTAGAGGCTTTTGCTTACCCTAAAATGTTTCTATCGCTTTTTTAAAATCATACCATTTTCAAAGTTTTCATTAATACCCTAAAATATGAAAAGGTAAGTAACACTATTTTGTTCTTTATTCCATGAGGTAAAACCAACTATAGGGATCCTTCTTTTTAGATATTTGAGGTTTTATAATATCGATGTGTAAAATATCAAATCATAAAAATCGGAAATAGGAATGGGTTGCATACGCCCAATTTATTTATTTATTTTGAAAACCTTTCTCAAATAAAAAAGAAACATGAAATAATTTTAAGAAATTTCTGTTCTCTCGTTTGTCTCCAGAAAAACCGTGAATTCAGAAACATTTATTTTTGAGCCCATTCAACCAACTATGTATCCCGCACCGTTTCCGAGACACTAACGGTGAGAGTCCCAGAGACTATCATTTTATCCTGAGACACTCTATATAAATAACATAAGGTAAGTATCCCTTCATTGTCGAATTATCACAAACAAAATTTGCAGGAAAGGGTACTCGCTAATATATTATATTTTCGATGATACACATATTTTTAATCATACGGTCTAAATCCGGTCACCATAGCAAAACAAAAAAATAAAACACTCCAAATATAGTAAGATCAAGTGCACTCCAACACTGATCAACAGAAAATAGTGTGTGTACTCAAAATCTGTCAAGTGTAGCAAAATGAACGTTATGGATCAAATTTTTTATAACGGTATTATTTAAGGTGGTAACTTAGAAAGATATGCTTTTATATTATGCGATACTAATGTGAAATTTGGTTAGAATGATGTCTCTTGAACGTCGGTCACATTACGCTTCTTATACAAGTGTTCCTCCATTGTGACTGCGATTGCGTTAAGAATATTGTATCAAGTTGGCTGACTTATATTGGTTCAAATGTTCCTGAAGTTAAACCTATGCACGGTTAAATCCGGTAAATGCGGATGTCCATTTAATTGGCTCTGCGCGAAATAATGTCTTCAAAAACTTCCTAACAGAACACGTTTTATGGAGCCCCAAAGTAGATAAAATTTGTGCTTCCAAAATCATGACGTTCCAACTTACCCCCTTCTTCAACTATACAGGAGCCAAATACGAATTTTGTGTTTCGGGCCCCAAAGATTGTAGATCCGCAATTTCGCAAGCCCCCCGAGTCTCACAAAAATCAAAAGTATATTTTCAAAAAAAAAGGAGCGTTAGAAATAATTCAAACCATAACGATGATTTGGAGCCACTTTATA